CCGGCTGGAAACACTGGCCCTGAGCTCTCTGCTGGGCCTGCTGTTTGTCAAAAGTGGGGGCCTCCGGTGAGGTGGTGACTCAGGTGTGTCTGGACCCCCTGCCACACACCCGCCACAATGACCAACAGATTACTGCACAAAAACCGGGAAAAACTTTCCTCAGAGCTGGAGACCAAGGACTGGGAGGGTTCCTGAGGGCAGGTGAAACCAACTTGCCCTAAAAATAGGGGAAATGGAATTTGCCAGAATTATAAGAAAAAATTGAATAATACTGATAGATTTTAGCATATTTCACCCCCCCCCCAAATTGAGTAAATTCTAGTTCAAGGGGAATAATTAATATGGATAGAGAAGATCTGAATGACATCCAGAGGTGCCCTCTGCAGTCAGGTGTGGAGACCCAAAGTGGAAACTGCCCCCGTACCCCTGTGCCCTGCTTCAGAGGGCGAGGGCCGGAGGGCTGCAGGGCTGCGTATGTGTGTATGGGGGAGGACATGTCTATCCCACCAGGATCTCAGGGGATGAGGGTCACCGTGGGGGAAGGACCCGGGAAGCCTTCAACACCTGGCGGACAAGTGGCCCGGGAGGCAGAGGGCACCACCACGGCTGTGCCACTGGAAAACAGGACCCCTGCCCTCCCTCTTCCTGCACAGAAAAGCTTCGGAAGGGACAACTCTGCCTTTGCTGCTGGCTCCCTGTGGCTTCCCACGGCTGCCCACGGCTGCCCACAGCTCCCCTCAACTCTCCATGGCTGTGGGACCTTAGAACCTTTCTCTCTGGGCCTGAAACATTAGGACAGGAGCCACGAAGTCCCTGCTGGGCTGCTCTCCACTCCAACTCTGAATGAGATCAGAACGCCCCTCTAAAGACATGCAAGGGAAAAAACTGTGCAAGAAGCAGCAGCCAGCTGTGGTTGGAGAGAGTTGAAGCGAGGGTCGCGCATTAAAAAGAGAAGAGACTTATTGCAAGAAATGCTGATGCCCGTTAGAAGATATTAACTGACATTCTCAAGGTGAGACCAAGGCAGGAGCCGGAGAGCAAACAACCCCAGACAAAAACTCACTGGAGGACGCGGCGGGGACAGGAGGAGCACACTGGACCGGCAGTCAGACTAGCCAGCGGGAGAAGGTCCCTAAGTTCTAGGCAGGAGAAATGTAAGACCGGAGCAGGGGGCACAGGCCGCAGGAGCCCGCCCGGGGTGCTGAGAATCAGGACGGAGGCCAGAGGAGCGGGAGGGGAGGAGGAGTTTCTAAAGTGGAAGAAGGTGGACGCGCTCCTGCCGGAGGAGGGGCTCGCCAAGGACGGCCAAAAATAACGAGGGGGAACATCTGGCCAACGTCTCAGCCACGCCTCTGGACTTCAAAGACAAGTGGGCCTTCTGGCTGGCACTCGAAGAAAGCCACCGACCAGGGACATCCTCACGTTCTTGACCCCACCTGAGATGGAGGTCAGAGGGCAAACAATGAGCTGAAATCCAATGAAACGGGGCCCTCCAAGGAGAGGCAGGAGGTGAGCCTGCCCTGCTTGATCAGGCCCATGGATGACAAGGACGCAGCTGAAATGCCTAACAAACTGCTAGAAGCATGTGCGGCAGGCCCCTGACGCCGTCCTGAGATGACACTGGGTTACACGGTGACAAGACCGTGGATGTGACTGAGGCTGCTCGTCAGTCCACTCCGAGTTAACCAAAGGGCCTAATCGTGTCCCTTCACGGGGTCCTTCATGCTGGTGGCGGAGGAGGAAGCGGGGAGGTTTGAGGCGTGCGGGTCCAGCTGCGGCCGTGGCGCTGTGACACCACCCACGGAAAGGCCCAGAGTTGGAGGCTGGGGACTGGCAGCTGGGAGCGGCCTCTAGGAGCTGAGTGGCCCTCAGCCGGTTGCCAGGAGACGGGACCTCCGTCCTGCAGCTGCGGGACCTGGACTCTGCCAACACTCCGGATGAGCTGGGAAGGAGATTCTTCCCAGAGCCTCAGGCGAGGCTGGAGCGTGAGACCCCGAGGGGAGACCCAGCCAGCCATGGCCGACTTCTGACCTACGGGACTGGGAGCTCAAAAGGGGGTTGAGTCATCAATTTGTGGTGACTAGTTGCACAGCATTCTCCAACTGGTACTCCCAGTGTGGGCTGCTGTGGGTGGAGAGCCCCGGGGTCCACGTGCTACAGAAGGGAAGTCAGACCCACCGGCGGGCTCGTCCCCACGCTCGCCCGCCGGCCCAGGAGAAAGATGGGGGCAGGCAGGAGACCGCAGGGCCGGGTCTGGGGGAGCGGAGGCCCCGCAGCGAGGGAGTTCTCCTGAGCAGCAGGAGCCCCGAGCTCCCAGCACACAGGGCAGGGGTGCGGGATGGGGTCGTGGCCCTGCCACTCAGGGACTGCTGAGCGCAGCATGACGGACGACACCCTGATGCTTAACATTGAAAATCAGAAAAGAAAATGCTTCAGACGTGGCGTGACACTCCCCTCCCCGCTCCGAGAGGCAGCCAAGGTGGGGAGAGCAGGGAGGCTGGTGTGCAGACGCCAGAGGGACAGGGGAGGGACGGCGGTCCTCGCGCAAAAGGGCGGCACAGACGGAGCAGCCAGGATGCACGAAAAGGAGCAAGCGTCCCCTCGCGGTCAGAGGAAGACAGGACGTCCACTGTGACAAAGCTTCCAGGTGGGACGAACTCCCCCTGGAAAGGCAGAGACTCCAAGGTGGGATGGAAACCGAGGCCGGACAGGTGAGATGAAGGCTGCACCATAAAACGCAAAACTGCAGAGGCCACAGGGGGACTGGGCGGGGGGTCCTGTCCGCGCAGGACGAAGTGAGACTCCAGGCCAACGGCCCTGAGCAGGACAGGAGGCCGTGCGACCCTGGCGATGGTCACAGAGAAACCTCAGCGTCTGGAGAATGTGTCACAGAAATCCGCAAATCAAAGACCATTAAAAATAAAAGAGACATTCCACACATCCCTCGTAGCTTTGATAAATTTGGGAGACAGATCGAACGTGGAATATTTGAATGACGTATTTGTAAAATTTGATTTAAAAGGTATATTTCAAAACACGTCACTTGAAAAAAGAAAATGTTATTTTCAAACGTACATGGAGGGCGTNGCGGTCCTCGCGCAAAAGGGCGGCACAGACGGAGCAGCCAGGATGCACGAAAAGGAGCAAGTGTCCCCTCGCGGTCAGAGGAAGACAGGACGTCCACTGTGACAAAGCTTCCAGGTGGGACGAACTCCCCCTGGAAAGGTGGGATGGAAACCGAGGCCGGGCAGGTGAGATGAAGGCTGCACCATAAAACGCAAAACTGCAGAGGCCACAGGGGGACTGGGCGGGGGGTCCTGTCCGCGCAGGACGAAGTGAGACTCCAGGCCAACGGCCCTGAGCAGGACAGGAGGCCGTGCGACGCTGGCGATGGTCACAGAGAAACCTCAGCGTCTGGAGAACGTGTCACAGAAATCCGCAAATCAAAGACCATTAAAAATAAAAGAGACATTCCACACATCCCTCCTGGCGATGGTCACAGAGAAACCTCAGCGTCTGGAGAATGTGTCACAGAAATCCGCAAATCAAAGACCATTAAAAATAAAAGAGACATTCCACACATCCCTCGTAGCTTTGATAAATTTGGGAGACAGATCGAACGTGGAATATTTGAATGACGTATTTGTAAAATTTGATTTAAAAGGTATATTTCAAAACACGTCACTTGAAAAAAGAAAATGTTATTTTCAAACGTACATGGAGGGCGTACATGTGAACATGCATGTAACATGGAATGGTCGAGCCCCCCAGCCTCTCAGATCCCACGTTCCCTGGGCTCGCTCTCGCCAGCCCTGCCACCATCCCCGACCAGGCCACCTGGCCCTTTGACGGACCCTCCAAGCCTTCTCGCCCCAGCAGCTGTGGCCACAGGGGTCTTTCAGAAACAGAAATTCCGTTTCAGCTCACAAAGCTTTTCCAGTGACATGAGCTCCTAGCTGAGGAGCAGCTGCTCTCTCTGCAGCCCGGCCTCTTCTCTCTGCCCCTCTCCCCTGCAGGAGGCCACCTCCTCAGAGCTCCCGCCTGCCTGGCCTGTGTGCTGAAGACCTCCCAAGCTGGGCCCCGCCTGGAGTGAGCACAGCGCAGGTCTCAGGGGTGGGGGCCGCCGTGGCTTCTGCATTTGCCCTCTGAGGGCAAGGCCTGGCCAGCTGCCCTTGAGGCCCTGTGGGCCTTGCCCGGCCCCCACTTCCGCAGACCTGCAAGGCGTCCCTCCCAACAGCTCACCTGGGGCTACCTCCTTGGACAGACACTTGGAAAGGGGTGATCTGCAGCTAGGTTCCCCTCATGTTAATGATCAGCCCCCTCTGCATTGCTGTTGGCTTCACCTTTCCAGCACGGGGTCGGGGCCCCTGGTTTCCTGACACCTGGGATGGCCACCCCAGGGGAGCCTGTTCTCCCTCAGCCAGCGGTGCTGTTCTCCGGGCCTCTGAAGTCTTCACGGGAACTCTCTGCAAACCACCCAGCTGTTCCCTGGCCCAGTGTGCCAAGGGGACCTCAGCATACCCCTGGGGTCACTTTGACTTGTGGGCCTGGGGTGGGTACAGACTCCCTGGGAGCAGTGAGGAGGGAGGCCTGGGCCGGCCCCCTCTGCCCCAGGCCCGGATTCCTCCCCTGAAAACCTGGGGCCCAGTGGCCAGCATCACAGCACAAAGCCTGGCGGGCAGGGACATTTACCCGAGTCCTTCCGCACAGCCCCTTTCATGTTGTGGTGACACGTGATGAAAAGGGGCCCTGCAGCAGCAGAAATGTGACTCCGTGAAGATCCCCATGGCTGGGCCAGGGCCATTCCTATGCCTGCCCCCAAGGCCACAGGAAGAAGGAAGAGCCTGGAAGCCAGGAGTCTGGACCCAGCTCTGCCCTGCAGTCACTGTGCCCGGAGGACCAAGTCCTCAGTTTCCTCAGTCCCTAAAATAAGGGCCAGGACCATCTCCAAGACAGCCTTGCCAGGGACGGCCCAGGCCCAGGTTCTGCTGAGCGTCAAGGCTGCCCACCCCAGCCCAGCCTGTGCCTCTGCCCACAGGCTCACCTGCTGGCTCCTCCCTAACCCACTCCCCAGAGCACTCATGGCCCCTTCCTTCCCCCCTCCCAGCCCTGTGGCCATCTCCCAGGGTGG